GCCCCCCCGCCCCCCCCCCCCGCCGGTAGGCAGGGTGAACCTCGCTTTACAACTTACAAAGTACATGCTACATTGTAAAGCGAGGTCCACATTTAAGGAAAGTTTATAACTTTTACTTCTGAGCAGGCGAGAAGTGATTCAGAAATTAATAATACATTATTTTTATAATGAAAAAAGTTTATTAATTGTTATTATAATGGATATGCTTTGCTCATTATACCGAAAAAAGCATTAAAACGTTCGTTGAACTTATAATGTCTCTTAAATACAAATTCTGCAAGATCTGTCTCATAATGATACGTACGTGTACCATAGCGCGCCAATGCCGCTCTCATTTCGCGCCACAAACGCTCTATATTTTGTGTGAGCGCCTATGGTGGGATCAACGAAATTTTGTTTGTGGTTTACAGTTTTATGTTGGTAAGGTAAATTATGTAACTGTCCATACGCTCTCCAACAATCCGAATAAATAATCGATCCGGGCGTTATGTGGCGAGTTATAATAGGAAGTAGACTATGACTTGAACGATCACATACAGGAACAAGTTTATATTAACAAAGACACATAAATAAACAGTAGATTATAGTAGGAATACGCTACGCAGGAAAAAAGTTATCTATAGAAAAATAATATGTTAAAGGAGCCGCTCCCCCGCCCACGTGTTCGATTTAATACATATAAATAAATAAATGTGCTAAGCTACACTGTAATTAAATGTACATGGTGTTAGAAAAATTATGTTTTATTTAGTAAACTTTTTTGTTAATAACTTTTTAATAAACAACGAGCGACGCTTAAAACTTTTTGGAGGATACTCAGGACAGTGACTTTGACGACATATGTCAAGATCAAGATCATTGGGACTGAGTCCGTTATTATGCACTTTTACCCCTTGTGATAAATTTCCGCAATGGGGTGAGAACCCTATATCGAAAAATGACATATGCTCTAACATTAAGCTGTTGCATCGATGACATGTATTAGCGCTAGGTTTTTGCGAATTGCATGAGTGAACAATTTTGACCAAAGTGTTGAAAATGATACACGAGTTGGTAAAGACTATAGAAGTGTGTTTGGAGTGCATAGCAAAATACGCTGTAGTACTGCGTCCACGCATGTACTTTGCAAGACGAAGCGATGTTCACTCTACACGTAACCTTGACCCTTCAGAATTGTAATGCATATATTTTAGATTCGCGACCGACATTGATGCGTGGATGCAGTGGGTTCTGCCCACCCTACGGGAGGGCTCCACTTCCGTAAGATATAACCTAACCCAAACCTATATCCCAGGGGTGAATTATTACTAATAAAAATTCATTCCTCGGACATGGGTTGGATTTTTGTGTTTGGTTAGATTTTTGCGTTTCTCTTCGACTTGCGAGCACTGATGCCAGATTCGGGACTTTGCAGCATGCCACAGCGTGTAGAGGGGATACGCATACAAGCGTGAACCGTGTACATGTAATGCGCAGAGCGTTCTGCGTTCTTTGCGATTTTCGATGTTTCTTATTCCGAGCGCCACATTTTTAAGTTCATATTCGTTCAGAAGGCAATAATACGTAGGAATTGGGTATTCTTACCCATTATTTCATATAGGTGGGTTTTTCGAAGGTTTACCAATTAAATTTATACAAAAACAAATTAGATAACACATATAAAAATTAATTAAAATATTTTCATGTATTATCGTTGACCAGTTTGTGCTTGTGAAAAGTTTTATGTCTTGCCTTCAATATTTTGTAAGCGTTGCATCTAAATTCTTTTCTGCGATAAAATTATAAAAAGTAAATCTCACTTACTTATATCAACAGATTATTATGGTCATCTATATAAGTATTGGTTACAACAAGATTAACATGCTGAGTATTATCGTCGACCAGTTCCTGCTGGTATCACGCGGTATTTTGACTATCATAAAGATGTAACGCGGTCACCTCGCTCGACGCTTGGATCGGCTCGTCGGTGTCCGGGTTCGAGAGGAAGGGAGATTCAAGCTTGCGTAGACACAGTATAGGTAGAAAAGATAGTTTATTGCAGGTGAAATATATACAGAGTAGCGTGCAGGGCCGTGCGGTGTTGGGCGGCGTGCGCTTGGTGGCAAATGGGCGCTAGGACGCGAGCGCAGCGGGAAGCGTAAGCGTGAAGCGGTCGGCGTGAAG